GCAGTTTGAAGTGCCTTGAAGTTAGGTGAGATGGATCTGTGGGCTGGTGAGCAGTGATTTCTTGTGGACCTCGCTAAACTTTCGTGGAGCTGCTTAAATACAGATATGTTGTTTAATAAGGAAATGAGAAACCTGTGGGAAAACAAAGAATATCAATAATCTCAAGTACTTACATCTGGCAATAAAGTTTTTGGAAAAAAAATCAGTACAGCAGCTTGTTGCCTTTGAAACTTATTGCTATTAAAATGTTCAACATGAAGTTTCTATTTTTAAAATAGCAGTTGAAAGAAATGCCCAAGATTAATAAGAAACTAAATTGAAACCATGTTAGTTCATAGGTAATGCAGTCAAACACTGAGTTAATGGGGAAGCATTTGCGGGGAGAGCTGTGTGCGCACTCTGGTTTGTAGTGCTGCTTGTTTGTTTTTTATTTTGTCTTTCTTAGAAAGCAGAAGGGGGTAGAAATACCAGCCTGTTAAATATTTTATTTCCTTTTTTAGGCTGTTGTTCAGTCCAGTTTATTAAGCTTTCTGAAACAGCACGCTATGATAAGTTAAGACATCGTTTACCACCCCGATACACAGGGAATTGCTAACTTAAACCATTCTGTAGCAGAGCCGGACAACAGACCTGCCCAAAAAGCCTCAAGCGCACATGAGAAGATGTAGCAATTATGTGGATACAGATGGAAAGGAGATTTGAGCACAGTGCTGTTTACCTGGTAGGGAGAAGGTACCTGACCCAGGTGTCCAAGAGAGCTCTGTCTGTCTCTATTGCCATCAGAGCTGATGCTGTTTAGAACAGGCATCTCTCTTTCATCTGCCTCCCTCTCCCTGAAAAAAACAACCAGAAGAAAGGTGTTGCTCCTCTACGGAAGAGTTTGCAAAAGTAGTTACAGATAGATGTCTTTTTCCAAGATAACCACAACTTTGTGGTTATCTAAATATTATATCTTAATAATATCTTAATCATCTTAATAACAGTAATTACTAGCTCAGAGGATGGGATAGATTCATGTACTTGCTATTAGATGAAGAGAATGAGCTTGAGCAGGAGTAGGAGAAGTAGAGTGTTGGTTAGTTGGTCCCTGGAGAATAGCTTTGGTTTCCTTGGCACTGTGACCATTCACACCATGTAAAGATCTGGCCCACTGACTGAGTTTGGATGATTCATGCCAGCTGCAAGAGCTGTCTCGTATGGTTTTTATTTTCTCTCAGATTATTATTATCATTATTATTTATTTTAAGTCCAAAAGGAACTGACTGTGTGGTAATACTAGCAAAATGAGCACTGGAGGACCTTATTAGCAGCCTGAAGGAGAATGTGCAGATAGTTATTTGCTTCGTGAATTGTTAACAGAAGCAGTGAATGTTACCAGCCTGCACTGCATGGAGCTGAGTATGGAATAACCTGCAGTGAATAAACTACAGAGCGAGGAGTGTATATTTACTTATGGGAGATGTCTATAAAATATTGTAGTCATAAATGTATTTATGTACATTTATATGTGTATTATTTCCCTATACTAATACTTGAATGTGGGGTTTGTATTTCATTATGAGTTTGATTCAAAATGTACCTTTACGGGGTTGAATTAACATGTGGTATGAAGGCCTCATCAACAGCATAATGAAGATGGCAGGATGCTTTCCAATAGCTGTGGTTTGTTTTAGTGAAGTGCCCCATGTTACTCATTGTGTTCCTAAAGTCCACTAGAGAGGTTCCTGCCTTGCCATGTTGCCACCAGGGTGTAAGGCAAGGGGAACCGAGAAGCAGACTTGCCCATGCAGTGAGGTGGCAAACATAAGAAAACCAAGAACTTGATGAGACAGGAGGACAGGATAAAGCCAGGGCAGTTTCTGCTGCATGATGCGTTAAGGCAGCGCTCAGGCAACTCTAGCAGTGACCTTAGAATCCTTCCATGCCAAAATGACCTCTAGAAGTGCTTTGCAAGACTAGGTTTCTGGCTTACTGCTCTTGAAATGTTTGATTTTCAGCTGTGTGTTGCATTTGTTGTAGAAGCTTTAGGTCTTATGTTTGTGCTCACAATTGATGTTTGATGAACCCTGTTATTTAGGTAATGCCGCCTAGGTTTGGTGATGGGGGAGGATGCAGACAGTGATAAAAGAACGTTGGGGAAGGCCACAGGTGTCTGGGGAGAGACCTGCTAGTCTTTAACAACACAACATGAAAAATTTCCAGCTTAGCGTTAGCACTGTTCTGCTTTTGTATATAAACAAGTTAGTTAAGTTGAAAGGCCTCAATTAATTAATCCCTGCAAAAAGCCCAGGTGAACAACAGGAAGACGGGCATGAACTGTCTGATGATAGCATTCCTAATTAAATCTTATTTTGTGTGTGTGTGTCCCAAGTTGTTTGATATTAAAAAGCAAACAAATAAAAACCCTCACAATTTTGAATGTTAGCTCCCATTTTTTCTCATTATTTTCACAGATGCTGAGCTATTTTTTTGAGCACTTTAGTATCCCAGAGTAGTCATCTATGTGTTACATGCCGTTGGTGGCATTGGTTGGAAAGTAGAGCTTTGTTGGAACTAAGTTTCAGAATTAGTCTGCAAACCCCATCAGCGTGTGAGAGGCAGCAGTTCAGCACTCACAGTGAGTTTGGTATTCTGAGAAGTTCTACTTTGGAAGCATCAAAACATTTTGATTATGAACTGTGAAAATGTGACACCTGATAGTTCTGACTTTATATTATCACAGGGTATAATAATACTGAGCAAGGTATAACAGTGTACACATGTGGTATATATTAACATTTTTTTAATGTAATATATACGTATGAGTTGAAACAATGAAATATGGCAATACTGTGAGAATAAAAATATATGAGTCAAGATTAACTCAGGCAAAATATTTAGCTGAAGTCAGTTTCTGTAAAACAATTTGGTACTGAAAAAAGGTGTTTATTATATAAAACTAATGCACCAAGCTGCTCCTAACTTTCAAATGAGTTTCATTGTTATAAGTGAAACCAGTGATGCCCAACAATTTCCATTGTAGTAGCCTCTAATGTTGTTAAACTTTTACCATTCATGCTGAAATCATACATGCTGAGGTATGCTTCAGGCTAAATTATTTGGAAACGATCAGCAGAAACTGTTCAGCATTTCTGAGCATACGGAAGAATACATTATTTTCCTTACAGAAAATACATTGCAGCTGTTTCAGAGAGGAGCCTTAGGGAGAAAGACTCTGGGATAGTCTTTTGGCCTCCCTTGTGAGCGTCTGCCCTGATTTGGCCACGGTGTGAGCTTGTTTGATGCCCATACTGACATGTTCTCAGTGTTGGAGCTCAGCTAAACCATGTTGGCCCAACGAAGGTTGACTGGAAGCAGGGATTGGGATCTGCTGTGTCCCTCCAGCAGTTTGGGGAAGAAGAGCTGTCCAAACATATTGAAAACATCAGTCCTGGGCAGGCAGGTGGTAGTGCCTGAACTGCTGGCTTTGCCATCAGCAAGTAGAAAGAAGAGCACCTTCTGAAAGGCTGTGTGTCCATCTCAGGAGCAGCAGACACAACTGCTTTCTCCTTCAGCCCTTGTTCTGCCTCCTGGTGCTGACGGGAGAAGCTGGGAACTGGCAGCATCCAGCAGAAGGCAGATACAGGCAGGGAAGTGCCAGCGTATGTTGGGGAAAAGCTGTTACTTGTTGTAAACGTCACTGTTTTGCTAAATTGGATGTGAACTGTCATCCGTTTCTCCTTCAATGCACATCCTTGTCCCATTAACCGTGTTGTTTTTTCAATTGCTTTGTTAAATATGTAGGCAAAGTTCGGAAGAGAACAGCAGCTGCAGGTACCTGCAGTTCTTGCTGATCTCGATAGTCCTTTTTACCAAGGGGAGATCAGCTAGTCTGTAGCAAAGCAAGTTTGCTCTGTGGGGCATTGGCCATTCCTTCTGTTCTGCCCCAAGCCTCCAGTCTAGGATTTAATGCAGATTCGCATCATGGTGAAACGGCCATGTCCTTGTTGGCAGAGAGGAGCCTGCGGTGCCAGATGTGGTGGAGCAGTGGAAACGTTTGTGAGCACAAAGAAGGTAGATTTTGTGGCTCTGAGAGCCAAATGGTTGGCCAGAACTAAGGCTTCATTAGAGGCAAAGCTGAAGAACAGTTTCTCTAATGACAGGTCTGCTGGCTGATGTGCAGATACTTTTTTGAACATGTATGTAGTGGGACTGCGTGCTGCTAATTCATTGCACATAGCTGCTTGCTTGAGGTTGCTAGTTAAAACAGATCATCTGTACTGACTGAAAAATGGCATTGTTGAAATTAGACTTCTGCTAAAAGTTTAGAATTGAGGCATTTCCTCGACTACATTAGACTAAGCATTACAACTAAGGGACTGGATTGACAGGAGTCAGTGTCGTGACTGGGAATTGACACTCGTGCAAAGGGAGCAATTTGCTGATGCCTGGGAATAGGGCTTCCCTGAAAATTGTCAGAAATGGCAGGGTTTGTGGTTAATTTCTTCAAAAATCTGCAGGATTTGTGGCTGATTCCTCCCATTTCTGAGTGGAGATGGGTGCTCCCTGTGCAGGTGCTGTGAGGAGAGGCCAGGGCTGCCCGTGCTGTGTGGCTCCATCCAGCCCCAGCACCTGCTGCAGGCAGTGTGCTTGCATGGTGAGATGGCTTCATGTGGGGGAAAGGAGCCCAGCAAGCACCAGCAGGAGGGCCTGAATCAAACTGTGGCAGCCTCTGTGTATCAGAATTTATGTTTCCCCTGCAGTCCAGAAAAGCTTCACGGGCAGACAAAGTGTCACGCAGAGGTGGCCAGAAGGGGTTCCACACTGTGGGAACAAAGAGCGGAGCTGCCGGACGGCTCTGTGTGAAGCCTGCATTGCTCAGAGCCTCGGGGCTCACCTTCTTCCCTTGGGCCACATGCTGTCCCCATGGCCCGTCACTCCAGCGCTGGCTCTGGATGTGGAATGCAGCCTGGCTGTCCGGAGCAGGCAACTAATTACAGCTTTAATTTTATTGTGTTTAGCAGGAGACAGAGCTCCAGCCTCTGCTAACAACAGATCTGAAGACAGGCATGAGAGCAGATAAGAGGCGTTGACAGAGTGCATGGGCCTGTGGCACGCTGCCCGTCAGGTGAGTAAAGCCCGCTATTGATGAGCCGTGTGAAAGGGCGACTATTGCTGGAACAATATATGGAGATAGATACAGGTATACATCTACATACACGTACAGGCATTACACACAGAAAAACATTTGTTGCTATGTGTTGGTAAAAGAATTGATTAAAAAAAAAAAAAAGGATGGACTAAGAAAGATGTGCTTTACATTGCGCTTGTGGACAAACATCCTTATGTAATACGTGCTTCGTTTCCTCTGGCAGCTCCTCACATCGGCTACAAATATCTAAGCAGCAGAACTTAAAACCATCTGGCACCTAAATAATGTCTTGTGATGCCTGCAGTTTTGTAGCAAGTATAAAAAAAAATGCATTTTGAGGCAACAGAAATGAGCTATTATTATGCAGTAAGAAAACAAAAGCAAGAGTCTTCTCTTAGCTGTAGATGTTGTAAAATGTTTTCATTTTGAAAATGACAAGCTGTAGTTTTCTTGCAAATTACGACCCCTTCACTTTAAAATACAAACAGCTGATTTATATCAGTTGAAGATCTGTTTTTGCATTGCTGATTTTTTTGTGCAGAATTCTTGGATTTCACTAAATTGCTGTGGTAGATTTTACCATAAATATTCAGATTTAGTGATACATTATTCCTTGAGTAATTCCATTTATTTCAGAGCTTTAACAGTGCTCAGGAGGCCAGATTCCTCTGGAAAGAGAAAAAACTGATCAATTTTGAAATATGGTTAGTGGGAATGTTACCGCTGTTTGTGGTGAACTTAATTGCTGTAGTGTCAGCTCTGTTCCTTGTTCCACACGCCATATGTTGGTTGGTGATCAAGTTGGGCCTTGTACAGCACCTCTTGAAATTGATAGGAGCCTTTCCTCTGACTTCATCGGGTATTGGGTGCTTAGGGATCTTGAACTAGATCAAATAGCAGCTATTAACGTAGCCTGGCCTTCTTCCAGCTTTAGTTACTGCCCGTGGTGCTTATGCAATCTGTTTGGTGTGTAATTTTCTCTCATTTCATAAGAGAAAGAGAATGACTCAGAGCCATGCTATGCCACTTGGTATTTTTGTTGGTATATTGTCACTTACCTCTTTTCCGTGAAGATAAATCCAGCAGCCATCAATCTACTGACCCTTTCTGTAAGTGTTGACATTGCTGAAGACTGGTGTTACATTTATATGATTGAAAAAAATGATTAGGAAAGTTCAAATGATTTTCATGCTCTCTTCAAATACTTACGTTTCAAAATTGGGGTAGTGTTTGGTGCTATTGGAAGAATAAATGCAAAGCATTTGTCCACATCTCAACAATATACTGGAGGCTTCAATGGAAAGATCCTGTCTTGGTGCTGAAGGAATATCAGAAATGAAGCTGGTTGATATAGTTCCAATTTAAGACGGTGTTGGCCCTTCTAATTTAAATTCCAGACAAAGGAAAATAGAATAAAGAAAATAACTTCAGGCAGTGTTTCAAGTAAATAGTTCACAGGTTTCTGCACTCTGTTAAGAGCTGAAGAGCAGGCACACAATCTGTCAGGAGCCTACCAGCGTTGCAGGCATGTGAATTTGCTGTTGTAGATGCTGTATGTGTTTTCTGCAATACTGACTGAAGAGGGTAAGAAAAGCAGCGTCCAGAGTTTGGTAACTCTCCTCACAGTAGGAGTTTGCTCACAGATCCATTTCCACCAGCAGTTTGTTCAATTCACTGCTTTTTTCCTCTGGTTGTTTGAATGAAGCAGGTGTTTCACAGTGAGACTGAGTGCTTACAGCTCTAATCTCTCTCTCTCACAAATGAGTCTTTTGTACTGTCTGGTGGATTAATAGGGGGATGAGGTGCTTAAAAAAATAAACAGTGAGTGCAAACAGTAGGAAGGAAGGGGGAAGGAGTAAAGCTGCATGTGGTTGATTGAGCAAGGTGATGTCATTTATTTAGCAGAAGTGATACAGGAGTCAAGAGATGCTGTAAGAGGAAGGGCTCCTTTGAAGGAAACAGTGCAGCATACCACCAAGGGTTAGTATACCACCAAGTGTGAGGCAAACCACAGCCTATCTGTTAGTGCTCAACAAGGAAAGTTCATTGGTTTTGAAGCCTTGGAGCTCAGGTGCAGTGAAAGGAAATAGGGGCTCATTGTTAAGGAGGGGATCAACACTCCCTTTTGTTCCTTCTCCTGCCCTCTTGTCCTTTGGCACTACAGTAGTAACATCTTGTCACTCCTAATACATGTTGGCATAGGTCACGTACACTGATGGATGTTCAGTCAATGAATGTACTAAAATGGTTTGTTTCTGTTGATGTATGCCTTTGCAGGCTTTTCTAACAGGAATGTAAATAAATGAACCCTTCACCAGTGATTTCTTTCACTGTAGTCCAGTTTAACCCCTGAGTGCACCCTTGGTAAGAGGGAGGCAAAAGGTGTACTGTATTATATTGTTTCTGCCTTTTTGTTTAGATTTAGTTTGCTGTCTGGGTGTTCAGGTAGCTTTCTACCTGCAAGGCAAGTTTTACAAGTCAGCATTCAGTAAAATGAGGTTGAGAAATCATGGGTGTGCAGTGAAGAAAGGTAAGAGCCTAATGTCTCCTGAGAGTACTGAGAAGATTTCTCATGGCCTCACTGGGAAGCATAGGGATGAAGACAAGCTTTTCTGATTCACTTACTTTAAGCTTTGTGGGAAACCAGGTTGGTATGGATTTGTGAATTGTGGAACTGGAATGTTTTTTTCATTGGTGTGTAAACACTGCGGTGGTACTTGTCTTCAAGACACTGAAACTCCAAAACATCTTCAGAAAATACCCAGAACAAATTATTTATCATTAATGATTAACCATAAACAGCTTTTATGGAGGAGGTAGGTCCTGATGTATTTATTCACAAGAGATTTTTTTTCTCCTCAAATGTATTGAGAGATTTGAGTAGGTTGCAGAGCTACATTCTGGACTTCAAAGTGTTCATAGCTGCTCATACTTTATCTACAATACTGGAAATACCATCTTCTGTAATCATTCATTTAAAGAATGGTTTAGTAACCGTTGGCCAAACCTCTGTTTTCTTGAAGTCTACTCTTAAATTTAAGAAGCCTGTTTTTCAGAGAAATTTGTACACCAGCAGTAATAAGCTTCTGGTGAAGACAGAAATGGAAGGCAACAGGGCTGATGCTGTCAGCATAATTTCGATTGTATTTGGATAAATTGCAGAACTGATTACAGTTTCCCTCCCATCAGACAAATCAATCACAGAATAGGGTATGCTTGCACAGTAAAGGCTGAGAACTGTTGGAATATCATATGCTTGTGCAGAAATGCTCGGTAGGTACAGAGCACTGATATGATTAGTGTAACCTTATAACAAGTTCACGTGTTGGGACAATAAATGTTCCTTTCATCTTATGTATGGAACAAAGGCAATTAAAAATAGCCTTCTCTCTCTTTATCTTCTTGAATATGGAAGGTGCAAATGCCAGATTTTGCCAAGAGACCAAAAATTGTCAGAAGTCATTCCTTTATAAGGTATTATTTTAAAATCTCATCTGCTCTGTAGTTCTAAATGCAATCATACTCACTGAGGGAAGAAATATTTTTAAAACATGCTGTTTAGCATAGGTCCTTCTTGCCCTGCTAATTATGTACTATTTAGAAGCTGTGTTTCAGAATAGAGAAGTCTGTGCAGCCATCATCTTCTCATGTACATTTGTGGTGGTGGCTAGATGGAGGTTATGAGGACACTGGGACTGAACATCCGATATTGCCATATGATTTGTTATTTATGGTTGCAGTATAGTAACGTGCAGCACCAGATGTGAGAAAGAAGAAGGAGGGGTGCAAAAGAACTTCAAATGACCATGATGAATAGCTGAAAGTGAACAGAGGGGCTTTTAAATACCTTTAAAGAAAGCCTAATGCTCTGCTTCCCTAAGCAGCAGGCTGCTGATGATGGAAAAGTCACAGACATACCTGCAGAGATTTGGGAAGCTCTTGTTTCAGTGGGTCTTTATGGCAGCTAAAAAAATGTTTTCTGTGCTTCTGCCAACTTGGTTAGTGTGTAGAAGTTACATCTCTTCTTTGCATTTTAGGGACAGCATGCAATGACTTGGACAGTGTCAACTTCCAAATTGCGTTTATTCTTTGTGCCTCACTGTGAACAGTTAGCAACTCCCAGCAATGCCAGGCTTCACTTGTACTGGTACTTTACCATATGAATCAGGATGGATATATTGTGAATAAGTGATGTCAAACAGAACAAAGATTTTGCTGGAGGAATAATTATTTGTATCAGAACCATTGCCAACGAGACTGAATTCAAGTTTCATGTAATAATCTTCTTGTTCAGTGCACCATTAAGGTGTGAAACATGAAGGACTCAAGCAGAGCTTTTTTGAGGACTCTTGATCCCTGGCTGCATTTCATTTCTGATGGCAGCAGAAAACACCATTCCCATGAAGCCCCGAATCTTCTTTGTCTCATTAAAAGCAGCATACATTAGAGACTTTATTTGACAGGTACCATCTGTACTTCACAGACAGCATCCTTGAATCCCACATCAGTATAAATTATGAACTAATTAAGTGTTTTTGTGACATCCCCACAGGCTTTCTCCCTTCTTCCTACCAGGGTGTGCATGTGTTCTGCAGGGCTTGCAGAAGTGTGCTGTGGTTGTCTGGGTTCTGGAGGAGAGGACAATTTGCTGCATGGAATTGAGATCACTGAGTGGCTGTAGGTACAGTGGTATGTGGGCAGCCAGGTGTGTAAAATGTGGCACATAAAGCTGTTCTGAGTGCTGCCTTCACCCATCATTTCTTTGGTTTATGCTGGTTGTGTTGATAGGGGAATGCATGCTAGGAGCCTTAGCTCTGAAGTTAACACAGGTTTTGTGTGGGTGAGCTAATTGGCATAGCAGGCCACACCTCCTCATGCAGACATTTAGGAAATGGTAAAGCAAATAATCCCAGTGGTGCCAAAATCAGAGCGATAGCTGATGAAGCCCTGATGGGGAGTAACAGCCAAGTAGCATG